TTAGCTATCAAAAAGCGACGTTGTTTTTCATTGGGACCTTCGTCTTCAAGGCTAGGCCTATACCATCCTAGCTAGTCTACGCCTAGAGTAGGATAAGGCTAGCGCGACATGCGGACGTTGGTACGAGTAGGTTAGTCTACAAACGTCGCCTAAAGTAATTGATTTTACCCGGCAGAACGAAAGAAGGAAACTCCACTTTTCAGTCGTCTTAGGCACACGTTTTTTGACAAACAATGACCTTTCAGAGGTCAAATTGCTGTCAAGAATATAAATTGGCTGCTTCGCAGCAAATAGAATGATTTTGTCAAAGAAAATGTCATAGTGTGTCATACAGCTTAGCAGGGGCGGATTTAGGGGGGGGGGGAACCTGCGACGCGCCCTCCCCCCTTATATCACAAAAAAAAAAAAAAAAAAAAACTGCTCCGGGCTAGCCTATTTATACTCACGTTGCCCGGTTGTCTAGTGAAAAATTAGCAAGAAAAAACATTTCCTTTAAGTTAAAAAAAAACCCGGAATTTTTGTGACGATTCCTGCACAGAAGGTATCACAGCCCAAAAGTACACTGTAGCTAGTTTTCAGTGTGAATTATTAGTGTTGAATTAATAAGATGATCCCCTAGACATTCACCAACATTACAGGATCTCTCTCAACAGATGATAGTTTGATCGTTCAATCTGGAAGAACATTTTAATTCAATATACTTTAATTCAATAGAACTTTTATATTCAATAAGAGAAGAAGAAGATTCAATAACACTGGTGATCTTCAGTGCTGTAGGTAGGCTAGCCTAGGCCCTAGGCGGGGCGCTAGGGTCTCATCTAGGCTAGGCTAGGCCTACCCTAGCCTAGCTAGCCTAAATAAAGCACGATTTATTGAAATTGGGGTGAGTGACTTGACACCTATACATTCAACAGCTGATTGGCTTAATTGATTTCTGGGCCCTTTGTTAAATATTAGAATGGGGATTAGATGTATGGGGCGTACGCCCCTCCCCCTATTTTTTTTGCAAAAAACTTTCACTCACAGTGTTTAACGGGCCGGCGGAACTGGGGGCGGACC